CTCTCTTTCCTGACCCGTTTGCCGAAGTGGGTGCACCCATTTGTTGAAGTGATGCTAACCCGTCTGTCAAAGTGGTTCTAACCCTTTTGCCGAAGCGGTTTAAAACATATTATTTACCAAAGAGGTGCACTAACACATTTTTCGGATTTTGCAAAAGCGACTCAGTGCCCAGCACTAGCTCTCAGCTCTCCCATTTTCTACCCTGCATACTGCAATACGTGGTAGGCCTATTGACACTACACATAACGCGGCCTCTATTTCATTTTCCGGCACTCTTTTATTAAATGTTAGTGTTAGGGATGAAGATGACAAATTATGTTTTAAGTGCTGATTAAAATTTTGATAAAGTGGTGGACTCCCGTAGATGAGCTGGTAAAGCGTTCCACAAGGAGGGGGCGTGGTGTGAAAAAGCTCTCCCCCCGAGTCTCTGACTTTAGCTTTGGGCAGGTCTTACAGAGAATTCTGTTGGGGTTAATGACGGAGAACAGATCTTTTAATTTTGTAGGTTTGAAATACTTTCGTCGGGTCTCTCCAAAGTCTGGATATTCTGGTAAAATGTGTCTAATGGTGAAATCTGCGTCGCATCCGACACAGAACAGTTTCTCTTCTCCCTTCAGGGAATAATATATTATAATGTGTCAGGGAGGTGTGTCCGATTCACCTCCATCTCATCTAGAGAGGCCTCTAGGTTTTCGTTTAGTTTAGTTTAGTAAGGGGTTTTACGGCGCTCGCAACTGCATAAGGTCATATGAGCGCGCCTCAAGTCTTTCGTGGGCCCAGTTTGGGCATGATGTCGTAGAGTGTGTTTGTTTATCTGTTTACTCCAATGTGTCTCCCTGAGACAGGAGGTAAAACAACACGATTAATATTAACATTTTTCGAATTGTTTGTTTTTGTAAAGTGTTTTACGGCGCTCACAACTGCATAAGGTCATATGAGCGCGCGGGACACACCTAATAATTTCAGTTGGTAGGAAATGTTGAATTTTGCCCGGGTGGCGGCCGAAGCCTACTCTTTTCGATTTTAGACCACCAAGGGATCTTTAACGTGCGCAACTTGCACACGGG